TAAAATATTGCTTTGTGGCGAAACAAAAATTCCACGGTTTTTAGAACTCAAAACTATGTAAAATACCCGCTGTTGTAATTCCAAGGTTTTTTTATGTGACACATTTAGCAAATCGTAGTTCTTCGCATAGTGTACCAAGTCATCATCACCTAATTTTAGTAATTTCTGTGMCATTCGTTTACTTGAGTACTGAGCTTACTTGAATTTCCATAAAATTGTATTTAAGATTTAGATTTAGTGTGAATTCTCATGTTATCAGTCTGTCAATAAGGGGTTGTCGATTAGTCATCTACATTGTGAAGTTCAATCGGCGTTTCCTAAAGCGCTTTCTAGACGTGGTTGGCGTTGTCTGGTATTCAGCTACGGAAGAATCATTTGCTTTCGGTGGTGTGCACAGGTTTACAATTTCAACTYTTTCCTCTAACATTTCAATACCATTATCATCGCCCGGTGATATTACATACTTGTTAGCGGATTTAACATTTCTCCCTCCCTTGGAAGTTGACTTATTTGCGGGTGAGAACAAATCGTTTTCGCTTCCTCTTTGTGACCAGATCTTTTTTATAATCTGGGATTTGGTGGCTTTCGCCTGCTTGTCACCGTCATCATCACTATCGATTTCAATGACTTCAGTTGGTAGTATATTTAGCCCATCTGTGGGCTCGACTTCGGGTTGGTCTTGTTTTTCCGAGAAATTGTTATTATTATGCGGGCTTTCTGTACAAAAACGTTTACTATCGGTTTCATTTTCGTAACTGTCATCATCTGTATCCGACTCATTTGGATGTAGAAGTTCATATCTGGCACGTGCTTTTTGCAATTTGCGCGAGAACATCTCTCTTCGCTCACGTGCTTCCTCTTGCTGTAAGTAGACATCTAATAAAGTGACGTAACCGCATTTAATTTGCGACATTATTGCCCATGTATCCATTTCGAAGATTTCGCGTTTATTTTAAATGGCTCTTTTCGGTAAGATTTTCCAAACACGACTGACGAAAAGCCTAGATCGGTTCGGCTTTTATATACAATTTTTTATGTTGCAGGAAAATTATCATATTTTTCAGTAAAAGAGCTAACCTTCACAAGAGGTTCTGCAACACAAAGAACCGGCTGACAGGCAGGTAGGTAAAGACCAAATTCCCGGAACATGCTGTACCACCTCTCACCTCTTATTACCTGAAGGTCGCTGTTATTGTTAAAGCGGATAAYAATATCTCTAAATCTCCAATTTCAAGGAACTTACGTAAAGATAAATATATTATTTTGTCTGCCTTTGTTATTTATGAATTTCCCGTTACTTTATTTTCCCTTTTAAATTTTATAAAAATATATTTAAACTTGTTGTTTGCTCTCCTAATCTTTTCTCAGTTTATTTGTCAAACTAATCATTCAMACTCTCAATCCTCTCTCAGTTTATCTTTCACTAACTTTGATAAAGTTTCAAGATTTTTGGCGTGAAAATCTCGTTAGCCAAAATTTGGTTTACAGGTTATTATTATTTAAACTATATATATATTATATAGATAAGATTTGTTAAGGTCTGCACTTTTATTGTTATGAGTGATATTCTTTCATAAGTTATATCTGTATTCAAATCAAAGTTCCGAAAAGAATTTCGTAGTTTATCGTTTTAAAAAAACAATATATATTTTTTTTTGTTTGCTTTTTCGATAGTTTATATTTCCATAAATATCCTGTGAAATCAGGAAGGTCGTATATTGAATAGTTTTTGGATGGTAGGGTACTAAATTGCGACAGCTCGGAGGTGCAAACATATACATATGTATAAGTGAAACTTAAATGCGTTTTTCTCGAAACGACATTTTTCAAAATGTCTGGCGTCATAACTCAATGAGAAATAAACCGCTCTACTTCAAATTAAAACTGGGTATTTTGGAATACATTCACTATATAATGACTTACGATCTTTTTGATTGGTTGAAATTTGTGGATTTGGCCTTAAAAATACGACCATTTTCTACTTAAAAAAACTATTTTTTTTTTAATTTCGTCATTTTGTTAATTTTTGATATTTTTCAAAGATGGTAGGTCATTATATCCTTAAGTTTAATAAACTTTTCAAGTTTTTTTGATTCAGCTACTCTTTTGGCCGGAATCACGCCAGCAGTTGGGACACTTTTTTGTTTGGCACCTTCGAAGACATTTTTGTAAAACAAACAATCTTAAAATATAGCTGAAAATATACCTTATTACGGTCAAAGAAGTTCGAAATATTCAATAGCGTACTTTCTCAAAAAAAAAAAAAAAAACTCACGAAAATCGCCTTATTAAAAAAAAAAAAAAAAAAAAAAAAAAAAAAAAAAAAAAAAAAAAAAAAAAAAAAAAAAAAAAAAAAAAAAAAAAAAAAAAGCATTTGCAAGAATATAAACGGTTCGGTAGAGAAAATATAGAATATCATAACATATATATTTACATAAATCAGCAAATAAATAAACGATTGCGAAAAAATTAAGTTTACATGTTCAAAGTCCAAATTGGCACATTTTCGGCAATACCCCTTGTTCTTTGGTAAGCAAAACCAAGCAGGATTGCGTACTTATGTACAAAGTGCATTGATCTCTTATACGAGCACTCATTTGCAAGTACATACAAACGGATTCGTCTATAGGTATACCCTATAGGACATACAAACACAATACAAATTATTATTAAAATAAATTTTGCAATTTGAATAAAAATAAATAAATTTTTTA